GTGGAACACTGATCCACTCAAAGGAGTGTTGCTCAAATGCAAGGCAAGGTAATCCTGTAAGAAGTTTCAGCTTTTCAAGAGTGTATGTTTAAGAAAGCATATTTAGCAGTTTTAGAAAGCACATCCATGGCCACTGCTATTCAGTGTAAAAAACTAGGCATGAATTGTAAATTTATAGTTCAATGAGATGCTCTTCACATCTTTAGTCCTTGTGATTGTAGGTTCTGTATAAATAGCTTGTGAAGTTACACTCTTCCCTGTTGCCTTTCTTGAGCTGTTTGCAAGTCCTCTATTTTGTTCACATTTTTAGTTTTTGGCAGAGCAAGACTAATGCAGTCCTGTGTTTGGAATATTGTTTTCTCAATACTACATATTTGCATAGGTCTTTATTAACTTTTTACATATTAGACTGGACTGTGAGCCCTTTATAAGACAAAGTCAGTTCTGTCTTGCTTGTTAAAAAAACACCTTGTTCATCTGATTCTAAATAAATGATGTCAGGGGCATCATTAGCAATCACTCAAGAATGTTTTCCCAAAAATATTTTTGTGACCTCAGGAACATGTTTGTATTTTGAAACTTCTTAGCCATGTCTTTTGCAACAAAATATTTTGACTTTTCATTATTCACTCTTTCAAGGTGATTTGTTCATCTTTAAGACTAGTAGTGGATTTTTCCATCCTTTTAAAATATTGGGGGCATTTTGGAGCTGCCACTAGAGCATGAGTTAAAAATATGTGGATACTGAAGCTGTCTAGGCTAATAATTATCAAGTGCTGAAAGACTGCTTGTTTGAATGTAAGTCTTTAAAACTTATTTTGAAGAGAGAAATGTCTCTGTGAAGGTTTACTGTGGATAGAATTTCCTGAATTCTCAAATATGAAATGCCCCTTGACTTCTAGATCAGATCATTAGTCAGCTTTTCTTTTTAGGAATATGATCTGTTACTTGAGCAAAGAGCTCTGTTGGATACCTCTCCATCCAGCCTGGATTGATCTGTGAACACACATCACTTCAGCCTTTCTTTTCTTCTTATTCTCTGAAAATGCTTGTCTTCCACTTCCTCCTAGAATCGAGGTATTTTTGGAGGCTGGGTTTTGGCCGCCATCCTCTGAGTATTTTCTTAACTGACACTTTCTTGCAAGAATTTCATGGGCAGTTTATTGGTGCTTTTCATTAGATCTTTTATCAACAGTTGCCTGAAACGCCTTTTCTTCCTGGCAGAAGCTTTTCAAATTCTTAACTCATGATAAAAAACCCCAGGAAGGTCTAATAAATTAGTCACACAGTGGCTAGCACTGATTTAATCTTGTCTGTCCAGCTGTGGAGATACCTTATCTCCTGGAATGCCAGACCTTGGGGACAGCATGACTAGAGCAATTGATTCTTCCTGTACCTATGAGAGCTGGTTTTTATCAGGGGAAGGAAGTGACCTGGCTTCTCCCTATGCGTGGGACCAGAGCAGCTTTCCATCATGCCCTGTTGTTTCTATAAGGTAAGACAGGTCTGAGGTTTTAGCTTCTATGCAGTGTCTTACTGTGCTTCATTTAACTGGAGAGTCCAAGCCGACACCTGGCACAGGGGGGAGGAAGGATGAGTCTGGTTGCTCCAGGGGAGATTTAGATTGGATATTAGAAAAAATTTGTCACCGTAAAGGTTGTAAGGCAGTGTAACAGGCTGCCCAGGAAGTGATTGACTTACCATCCCCAGCAGTGCTGGCTTAATAGTTGGACTTGTTGATCTTTGAGGTCTTTTCCAACCTTGATTACTCTATGTTGGACTGAAAATTACACGACAACTTTGAGAAAAATAGAGGATTCAGGACAGGTGCATAAATGCTAGGGGTGGTGGGCAGAAATCCCCACAGAGAGCTTGAAGGGTCTGAGAGTAGGTTGTGTGTGTATGTAGAGACTTGAGTTTTGTGGATGGAGCCTGAAAATTCTTAGTTGTATCCTGGTTTGGGTTAATGTCTTTTGGGTGTTTGGTGGGATTGTTGGGATCACTCAAACTGAGCCAAAGATTAGGATTCGGACTGGGGAAGAGGGCACAGGCTGGAGCTGCAGTTGCAGTTGGGGCTGCCAGAGGAAGATGTGTGGTGCAGATTTTCTCTCCTGAAAACTCTTTATATCAGGACATGGCTGGGGACAGGACATCCAGGGCAGCCAAGTCCTTTGGTTAGGATTGGTGGGGCAAAAAAACATGGGACTGCAGTTGTCAGGGGCTTCTAGGAGAAGGTGTGAGTTAGTGGGTTTCATTCACCTGCAGTCTGTCCCTTGGGCCACAGCTGAGGACCTCATGCCAGGTCCCCAGTGCAAAATGGTGATTGGTCTTGTTTGCCCAGTATTTCAACAGAAACCCACCAGAGCTGATAAAACTTTACCAAGACACATGCTCTATGAAAGTCTAAACTGGCACAGAAAATGTAGTTTGTTTATACAGCCTTTGTCACAAGAAGTGTAGTTAGTGGATTTTTGAGACACAGGGATGGACAGTAACTGTGAGAGTGAAGGTGACCATTGAGACCCTGCACAAACAGCACAACTTTTCAGCTGGCTTGGTAGCAGAGCAAGCTTAAACCACTCAATGTTTTGGCATCTGGATGGTTGCTCTAGATGAGGCAATAATTCAGAAGCAGTCAGTCTGCTCTGAAAGAAATCTCCCTTTGACATATTCTGCAGCAAGCAAGTCCTGGGGGGTTTGGTGCCAGACTGCTTAGAAATGTTTCCAATAGGAGACAAACTTTTTAATAATAATTTTAATTTCTTCCTCAGGGTTTTCCATCTTGCCCCATCCTATTTCCTCTCTCTTCAGCCTCCAAATGGTGACCTAAAATGTTGTTTGTTCCTTACTCCTTTCCTTCCTCTCAATTTATCCTTCTCCTGTATTTCACAGGGAAGTCTGTACGAGCCATTTTGAAGATTTATTTAGAACGGGTTTTGGCATTTGAGGTTTCCAATAAGAACTCTTTATTTTACCTTCTATTATTGCCTGTGACTTTTAATCTGCACCTGCAATATTGGTTGTGATGCTGATACATTCACGTTTGAGTAATAAAGAAAATGGGATGCTTTAGCTAATATATTCTTTTTTTTCCTGAAACAGCATAGGCTGACTGAGGAGTGAAATCACAAGAGAGCTACATTTGTATTTGTAGAGTATTGCAGAGAATTTGGAAAGAAGTCCTCCGGAAAAAAAAAAAAGAAAAAAAAAAAAAAAAACCAACTTAAATTGCCTGGTGTAGCAGCTAAATGGAAAATAGTAGTTTTATAAAGTTGCTGCTCAGTGAGGTTAAAAAGTACTATAGGTACCATAGTATCTTCGGGGGTGGGGGGGGAGGAAGTAGTTTTTTTCCATCTGTGAAATAAAATAATGGTTCTAGAAGATAGGCAATTCTTTTATTGGTGTTCTCTTAATGTAATGGGGAAAAGTGATTTTTTTTTGTAAATAAAAGTATATTAATTCATCTGTTTTTAGGACATTACTGTTAGATTCTAACTTAAGCAGAAGACTAATAGTACAGCCATCTGTATGAGCTTGGGTTATGGACTTTTTAACTTCAAGAATATTAAAAAAATACCCACAACTCCAAAAAGTATCATTCATATTTGTTTTGATGCTACTCCCAATACATGATGGTGTTAGAGATGTGGGAACTTCAAGAACCAAGTGATTGCAGAAACTCAACCTATATACTCTTTCAGGGAGACACAAAGGGAAAGAGGTGAGGAAAAGTGATCACTTCAATGTTCATAAAATCAGATGTTCACTCCAGGAGGCATGAACACTTTCATGAACTTGCAAACTGCCACAGTCCTAAGGAATTAAGCAACAAATAATGTGCCACAATGGAGAGATGGCTCTTGGTAGAGCTCTAAGCAGTGTCACACTACCTGTTATCCTAACTCAGAAGAGGGACCTGGAAACCATCACAGACTGTTAGCTTTAGTTGAAAGGAATATTCTTTTGATTTGGATCAACTTCTCAGCCAGACCTCTCAAATATTAAATATGAATAATTTTACTACCACAGGAGTCTGCTCTTCAATGGAAACCACGTCACCCCAAAATTAGGTTCCTCTATCCATAGAGCTATTCTAATTTTCAGAAAGTTTTAAATTTAAGCAGACATCATTTTTTCTCTTCAAAGATCTTGAATTTTAAGTCCATGTCTTGAATTGATGATTTTCTTCTCAGTGGATGGAACTGGTTGAATTTTTCTTTGGATAAAAGGCATTATGGTTTTCTCTTGGGGAAAGGGTGGTGAAGACACAGTGTTTGTTGCAACAGGATTTTACAATTAAAATTCCCAACTTTTAGAGGCTTGGTCATTTTTTCGAGTATTGTAACAATGAGCCATGTCAGCACATCTCATAGCATGCTCATGGGTGGTGAGGAACTTGGACTTGGGGGTTGCTAATCTTTGGACACTGAACAACGTTCAGCTGTGGTATCACTGGCCTAATGGTGTTTTCATGAGGAGATATGGGGGTTATGAATTCCCTTTTAATTTGTCTTCTCTCATTGATGATTTATGGGGCCCTCCATTCAACACAATATATGGAAGGATGACATTTAATTTCATCGTAAGATGAAAAAAAAAATAGGCCACCCACAAAGTGTACATCCTTTCTCACCTTCCTGCAGTAGAGAAACTGGCAGACCTGGATGCCTTCTAGGTTTCTGCTCTCAGGCCCTTACCTGTACAGAGGTAAGGCAGGCTGATGTGTCAAAATTCATCCAGAATCTGCCTGGGTCACTGATGTGGTCTAGATCAATTTAGAATTTAAAATAAATACTATTGAGTTACTGTGCTGTGGATATTCATCCTAGTCTTTCTTAATTTCAGTGATCAAATTTGGGTGTCCATGTATGTTTTCAGAAGGGAGAATGGGGAAATTATTTTTTTCCAGTCACACTGAAATCCTTATGTGCTGGGGGAAAATGTTTGATAATTTGGATTTTGTGACTTACCACTCATAAAATACTCCTTTCTCATAACAGGTTGCTGAATGCGATAAAGCCAGGATTGGTAAAAAAGATCAATAGACTACCAACCCCCATTGCAGGTTTGGTGAGTATATCAAATAGAGGAAAATATTTCAGTGCTGCTTTTTGCACCTTGACATTGACTATGGGATTCAGATAGCAGTTATTTTTGTAATTTAAACTCTTCTAGCCTAGTAAATTCAGACAGTCCCTCTGAAATTGGAATGCTCTGTGTAGTGACCTTAAGACCTTTCAGTCTTTTTTTCCAGAAGTAGGCAGTATTCAAGTGTCAGAGTATATTTTTAGAGGAAGATGATCTTCTTGGTTATATATCACCTCTCAGTTGTGGCACTAGCTTTAGAAAAACTGGAATGCATGCATCAGAAGCCACCACCACAAAAAGATAGTTTTTGGAAAGGAAGAAAACTGTACTTGTATATTTTGTCTCATTTACCCTTTCCCCAAAATACCACAGTCTGCAGATAACATTCATTCTGGGGCTATCTGGGGAACTGTTTCATGTTGACTTTAAGGGCAGAGCAAAATTTGGCCATACTCTGTTGTAAGCAAGGACGACCACAGAGGATGTGCTGACAGCTCCTGGGCTGTCAGGAGCGCTGGGTACTCAGGGGGTCACCTCAAGTGGTGGCACAGTCCCGTGCTTGCTGTTGGGGCAGAAGGTGGGGGAGTGGGTGCTTGTTGGGTCTAACAGGATTAGCCACACAGAAATATGGCTGTCTTGATTTTACCTTCAGCTGTAATTGGGAATAAAAGGGTCCTTGAGCATGTGGAAAGTGGCCATCCGCTATTTAGACTTATCATGTAGATATGTGGTTCCTTTGTGTGCTGGCACTGTTCACATTGTGGCCTATACAAGATTCAGAATACATTACTTGTTAATAGCTGAAGTTATCATTCCCTTGTATAAACAGCATTAAAAAGCTTTAGTGTATCAGAAAACATGTTGCATTTGCTGTTAAAGTAGCTCTACAGCGTTGTTGCATAGCCTTTGATGCTAGGTTCTTCAGCACGTAGATTGACAAGGATATTTCTGCATTAATATAATTTGGTTTTAGAATCTCGTTTTTGATCCCCACCACCCTTTCTCTAAAGTTTCCTTGAGTGCCTTTCTTTTGCCCTAAAACCCATCTAGTTTTATTGCTTTGCTGTCCTATTTGAAAGGAATATTTGATATAAACAGCTGAAAAAAGTACCAGTAGTGCAGTTTTCTTTTCCTTGGCTTGCTTTCAGGAAAGACTCAATTTTTGTTATGACTGTTTTAAAAAGATGATATTGAATTACATTTGGTTTTTTCCCTATTCATATGTAAAATCCCAATGGTAAGGTGGTTACAGTAGGAAGGACATAGAAAAAAGTCATTATGTGTGTGTATTTTTCTCATTCCTTGAGATAAAGCTCTCTTGCAAGATGTGTATCTTCAAAGCATTATTAAAAAATAAGTTTTCAGGCTACTAATGATACAGTGGATCTTTTTTTGTGTTGTTAAGTGACTTTATTACCTCTGCAGCTGTGTCCTCTGATTTCCTTTAGTAACTACTTTTCTAATTTTTTTTCCTAATAAATAATTAGGCTATTTAAAAAGTTCACTATTTCCGAGTTCTTGAACATTACCAATGAATGTTTTAATATACTGTTCTGTGAATAAATTCTTCCCACAAAACAATCAAAATTTCCCCTTGCTTTCCAAGACATCTGGTTCCCTACCTGCTGACTTTTGTTGCCATGTGTAGTTACAGTGGTAAGTGCCTGCTTTAAGGATTGTATGCAAATTTAAATGATCAAGTGCTCTATCTAGTCTGTTATGCTTATTTATGGTGTATCATTTAAAAGTACAGCCATCAGGGGTGTGTTTGAGCACCAAGTGTATCCTTTTCTTTTCATTAACCTGTATCATGCCTATGCATCTGAAAAAGAAATTAAAATATTGACACTATAGTTCAGAAGAAGTTATACCTCCTAGGTAGTTGACCCTACATGTGAGACATTCCCTTTTTAGTTGCCAATTTTTCTTTATTATCTTAGTTTTGGTTGGCTTGACGTACTAAGTAGTTACTTCTTTCCAGTTATTTCACCCCAATGAGAGAGATTTCCTCAGGTACAAGAAGAAATGCTGTGAAAGCTTCAGTACCTTTTCTTCCTTGCATGAAATATGTGCTTTTAAATCCTAGATGCTGCTTCTGCCTAAAATGTGTAACAAAATTACTGTAACAGAATTAATTTCTTTCCTGTATCCGATAGAAAGTTTTTATTTCACTAGGAGAGACAATAGGTATGTTTTCTTTTATACACAGTAGGAACTAAAACTTATAAGTAATTGTGGAGTATTCAAAGTGCCTTTTGTTTCATCCTTAACCTCCAGAGACACAAACAGTTATATATTACATACCTCTACAAAATGTCTACTTGAGTCTAATTCTCCAGATTATAGTCTATTTTTCTCCTTTGTTATGGTAAGGAAAAATTAGGAAGTGTCCTTTATTGAAGGAAAATAACAGTGACCTTGAAGCCCGTATCAGACACAAGCTGAGGTGTTCACTTTGAAGTATTATCAGGTGTAAAAATTTTGCCTATATTTCAAGTTTGAGTGACTTCTCACAACACTTCTGTAAGTATTATGTATAACTGGCTCAGTGTTGACAGACTGAATTCTTCAAATCTTTCCTGGCATTTAAAACTAGATGAATCTGCAGTTACTCTGAAATTCTCACCAGTGACTTGCTCATGTATTTTAAGAGGGAATAATTTATTTGCAGATCTCGCATACCAGAACACCAATCATTTAAGTAAAATGTATCAGTTTTAGTGCTGTGGTGTTAAAGTAAGAACTCAAGGATCTGAAGACCACCATACTTAGCACAGGCTGTATAAATACACAAAGATGATCTTTGTCTGGTTGCAAGTCTAAGTCCGGATGTGGATTGTATGCAGCATTACATATAGAATTACATATGTTCAGCTTGGCAGGCTTGTTTGTAACTTGCTTTGATCTCCAGAAGTGCCGACTGCTTCTGTTATCACAGCAGAAATGATACATTGCTTTAATGAAAGAAAATGTAGGACCACTGCTTTGGTATTCAGACTTACAATATTAAATCTGATGAAGTGTTTTCTCATTCTTGTTCAGTATTCATTAATCCTGAAAGCTTATGCTCCCACCAAAAAGCAAATTCACAAAGCATTCAAAGAACATATTAGGCCTAGGTAGAAGTAACAGAAAACATTTTCTCATGTAAAAAATTGATACTGAGCTTCTTTGTTCTAGACTGTCAGGTTTCCAGCACCATCATTTAATGTATTTAATTGTAGAAGGCTGGAGAAGTGTTTTGGCTGAGTTATTAATAAAAAAAAACACATCTGGAGCTGCAGAAGACTTGCAAAGATGTATTAGAGCACAATGAATATAATTAAGTGACTTTTACAAAACCAGCAATTTTTTCAGTGAGTTGCTGCTGGTTTCTGTCATTTTGTATGACATTCACAGTGAATACAACTAATTTTTAAGGTTTCTACTGATTGTAATTTTGTACCTCTATACTTTATTATCTATTCTATGAAAAATTACCAGCATCACCGTAGGTAAGGTTTGCTCTATAATACTAACTACTGTATGTTGACATTCTTTTTCCCTTAAAAAGATTCCAGCTTTTGCTTCCTGTCCCTGAATAATGTCACTCTGAGAAAATAAAAGGTTTCTGCCTTATCTTTTGTTTGACAGGATTTAGGGGAGTTTATAGCATTACTTCAGTTCCTTGAACAATCCCCAGAGGAGCTCAGACACTTACTTCAGAGGCTGTGTGAACGATTCTCACATATAATAGGAGGAAGTAGTGAAGACAAAGATGGAGAGATGAACTTTAGCTTGGGTCTCGGCTCATGTTTCAGCACTACTGAATAAAAAAATCTGTTTACTGTGGCATCCAGTTTTCAGTTTGTTTATGGTCCTTAACTTTGTGACATATGTATGATATAGCACTGGAAAAAATAGACCTGCAGAAGTCACCTGGTTGCATGGTTATTGCACCAAGATGAACAGAGGCATAATGTGCTGCTTAAGAAAGCTTGTTCCTTTGAAAGCGAGGTTGGGTTTTTTTTCCCCTCTTTATTTTCCCAGGAAGTTTCTTTTGGCAAAGTGTTCACTGAGAGCTTGCTATTACCCTTATTAAGAACAGCTATCTGTCTGCTGGTGCTGTTAGCTTGTTCTTATGCTGTAATATTGCACAAATTGGAAGTTTGGAGTTTTTCTATCTTATATGTCCTTTCAAAGAAATGTTGTCCTTATGTTAGCTTTCAGGAGTTTGAGCTACTAATTAAATTCAGCAAATGAGATCTTGTTTCTTCATGCAGATATGAACCTCAAAATAAAATTACAAGACCCAAATAAAGTATAGTGTGTTTCGCACCGTTAAAAATAATTAGCGAATATAAATACACAAAACTTTAACAGATACACATTATTTTTAGCACTCTCTTCATTTATACCTCCTTGTTACTAATTTTTTCTTGAAGAATTATCTTCTTGGTTTTTTTCTTTTAAATTTATCACTCTCCCTTAAGTTCTAGTACTTTCTAGAAAAAGCCTGCTCCTATTGTAATATATTGATTCATAATCTATGATAGTTTCTGTTTTCTTGTTTTCTACTACTATTCTCTGCTGAACATATTAATTTCCCAGCACAATTGTATTAATAAAAAAAGTCTTGCTGTGTAAGTTGTGGTACATGTGAAGTAAACAGAAGCAAAATTTCCTGTCTATCTAAAAACAATAAGTTCTTGGCACTCACATTCCAAAAGTATTTTTGTGAGTGTTGATGTAAAACAAAGTGTCAACAGCATAGCAAAATACTGTGCAAACCATTCTGCCATGTTTTCTGTGGATCTTCCTTGCTAAATAGTAATTGGTTTCTCTATCCCTCTTGTGCCTGCTTTCAGTTCTGAAATCTGAATGTTTGATGAATGCAATATTTAGGGTCTAGCCAGTAGTTAAGAGCAGCTCTGTGTGCTTTGACTTATCACGTAGTGTAATATATAATTAATCTCTTTACTAAAGCAAGAGTATCCTTAAAA